TGGGGGGGGGGGGGGGGGGGGGCTGGATCCGCCTTTGCATTTCTGAAGTTGGTAATGTTATAACTTACACGAACTCTATGTCGCCGACTCCGTCACTGGGCGCCGTCCACTGGAAGCTGAGGTCAGTCTTGTCCGTACTGCTGGAGTGGGTGATGGCGCTCTGGCCGATGTTCTGACAGGTGAGGTGTCTGGTGCCCGGGGGAGGGGTCCCCCAGGAACCCACTATGGTGGTGGTTCCCGCTCTCCGGGCTTGGAGAAGAATTCCCTTGAACGTTCCTGTCACCGTCACTGGAAGAGTGCGTCTTTGCTTAGTTAAAGTTTTCTTTTTTATTTATCTTATATATTCTTGAATATATATTTATTAATGCAACAGCTTAGTCACATTTCACGTTAGATGTCCTTTTGGTGGGGAAATTTCTTAAAAAATAATGCACCGTTATGAAGCAAAATTCCCCTTGACACTACTTCATGATGCTGCAGCTGGCATGACAAAAAACATCAACTACCTGCCTATAGTAAACTATAAATTAAAAAGAATCATCTAAAAACACTTTGCCGCAAAAGCTAAGGATGTGCATTAATGAAAGTAATGAATAGATACGCAGATAGATGGATGAATGGATGAACGGATGGATGGATGGATGGATGGACGGATGGACGGACGGATGAAAGGATGGATGGATGGATGGAAGGAAGAAGAAAGGAGACAAGGACTGATTAAGTTGGCGTATTTTCACCTGTTATAGTGTCGTCAGTATCATAGGTGGCTGCGGACGCTGATATGGAATACGGTGACGTCGTTCCCTGGGGACTCGGGCCATGCTGCGGATTCATGGACGTACAGGCTAAAGATGGCGCTCCACTACTATATCCAAGACAGCCCCCCACGAGACTAAGGATGACAGCCAGTCCATACACACAGGGAATTGGCATTGTAGAGCAATGGGATGTTATGCCTCAGGGTTGTCTTCGTGGCTAGAAAGAAAAATGTCATAAGTTATCGTACTATTGAAGTGAAAAATGCATGTAATGTGCGTGAGATTGTTTTTGACATAATAATGAAAATAACAATAATAACGAGAAAAGCAGTCCGTGAGCCCAGACCTCAGCCAAGGCAGCAAAGTCTCCACCCAATGCCGTTTCACCCCTAAATTTTCATTCTATAATGATTTAGTTTTATTTTATTTTTGTTTATTGATTATTGATTGAATTATGATCCGGATCACCACCAAAAACTAATCATCTCTTCCTTGGTCCACTTCTGACAGTTCCTGAAAATTTCATCCAAATCGGTCCATATCTTTTTCTGTAGTGTAGCTAACAGACAGACAGACAGACAGGCAAACTAACGGAACCAAAAACATGAGGTAATAATAATAATAATAATAATAATAATAATAATAATAATAATAATAACAGAAACAACAACAACAAGAACAAAAATAACAACAACAGAAACAATAATTTAAGGCCTCGGAATTTTAGCAATGTTTCCTTATCACACACCTATGACAATACCAGTATCATTTCCAAAATTACAATATGCACTTTTTCAAGTTCTTATTCTCTTATCGTTCACAATCACAATGGGACTAGGCCTACTTATCAGCCGGTGCCTCGACTACCTGAGTGACTTAAAGAAAGACTGGAGAGAGAGAGAGTGTGTGTGAGAGACAGAGCGTTGCCCTGAAATGCAAACATTTATATAGGCCCTACCTATCCCACCTGAATATTCAGACTGACTTATCGAACCGGCAGCTCTCTCCTCGCACCTGTTATGATCAGAGTATGAAATGTGAAGCCGTCTTCAGGAACCGGATCTAACTGACTTCGTTTTTCTTTAGTCCACATAAATACGAACTACATACTGAAGCCAGACTACATAAGCTAATATTTCAGAGGCTCTTATGGTGTTCACTTAAATCTGGACACCTGCGTCTGGCCTGGTCTCCACTACGAGGCGTGATGTCACGTCAACTGTTTATAAAGGCGAGGTGGTCTATGTTGTACGCACTGAGACAGACAACGCCCCTTATTTTCCTTGACAACAGGTGTCATTTTATGGGTTGAGCAAAAAGTAAGATAATGTATAAAAGAGCTTAAGGGTACGTATGAACCGAGCATCAGTAACACATATGAACCACTTCCACTAATCAAATACATTCGACATGCCAAGGGATAAACTGAATAAATCACTCGATCAGCCATAAAAGATCTTTAGAGTGCTCCTTTATTTAAAATTTTGGTCAGAATTTTAACCTAATTTCATGACCAACTTTTCTGCCCCATTGATATACAGCATAGCTAGAATGCTACTGAAAAATCCGTTCAGAATATCATTTTCGGGTAAAAATAAACAACGCTTTTGGTTAATCACTTAGTTATAGGGCCTATAACTTGAAACTATATGCTGGTATTTGGTTGGCTTTTGGTTGGCTGGTATTTTGACGCAAAAAGATGACTTTATATGCATCTTTAAGGGTAGCACACTGATTACGGCCCCCCCGAAATTTAAGCAGGGGAACCCCCTTCTCCCCCTTTAATCCTAAAATAACGAACAAATAATAAATGTATAAATAAATAAATAGGCCTAGAGTATAAAAAGTAGTGCTTGTATCAACAAGCGAAACGAGTCACAACCACGCAATCTTTTCTGCTCTGTGCACAGGATATTTTAGTAAAACTGTCCTCGTCAGCTAGCGAGAAGTGGTTAAAATCATCCTTGAGGACCCCCCACCCCCCAAGACACACTCCCCTCTCCCCATCAACCCCAGTCAAACCCTGCACCTACCAGAGGTACAGGACGTCTATGCTGAGACTTTGACTTCTTTCAAGTGCCTATTTTTGGGGGTTGGGGCAGAAAGCTAAATCCATATAGCAACCAGGATTTTCGTGGGGGTCTTTTCTAACTCGTATCCGTCTTTTTTTATCCCTGTGATAAGTTAATATATATTTTTCTATTTAAGGAAGAAAAAGCCCACTGACTGTTTCCGAAAGTTATTTGTTATGTTCAATTCATTTTCATGAATGAATATAACTTGCAACAAAGTTATCATTATTTTTCTTTTTTTTTTAACATTGATATTATATTCTTTCAAAACCAA